TATCCTATAGGGACAGTGAAGTCTTTTCTAATCCAACATATAACACAGCACATGGTATGCAGCTCAGATCTGTGTCCACTGATCCAGTTGATCATCAACAACTTGCTGCTATTTGAGGACCACAAAACATGCCGTGAACCCTAGAATGTACCATACTGCAGTGTTTACCAACCACAGGTATGAGGGCCCCTAGGGGCAAGGGTATTACATTGGGAAAGGGGGGTATTTGAGATAATGTTCAAAACTTGCAAACATAGATAGTAAGAGATTAAAAGACAACCATTCCAGTCTACGCACACTTCCTCAAACTAAAAAGTGAAATCAATCCATCATCATCATCAGGGAATCCTCTTTAATACAGTGCTCTTTGAACTGGGAGCCTCTTACAAGCCTTCATCTACTTTCAAAGAGGGAAACAAACTTTTGATACATGCTCCTGTCAGGCCGACACGTGTAACACCAGCTAGTCCTGTTAAAACCTGGCAGTGCATGCAAATGTCCTGAACACCGGCTTTGGAGAGCGAGCGGACTCAAAGTGTCGGGAAAGTAACACGATTATCCAGCAAGAGATTAAATTACTGTGTCCTCCAGAAGGAACTAATGACGTGAGATGATGGCGAGGGGCATCGGCAGGAGCATGACTGACTTGTAGGTTTACACATTTACACATCGTCAAGGCTGCTTCGCCCTCAGATACTCCCTGCGGCCTTTTCTGACAAGTTTCCAGTGAAGCTTGTGAGGACTGAGAATAAAACTGGGAAGAAAAGCAGAGTTCTAACAACATCCTACACGATATACTATTCAGTTCATTCAAAAGTATTCAGACACTAGACGTGAGACTTTGAAATCTGTCTGAATTTACTGCAAAGCAAATCATATGTATGTATTTTTGTTCAGCCAAAAATCCAAACGATCAAATTTTATTCATAGAGGGCTTTTCATACAAACAAATGCAAGACAAAATGCTTGGTTCATATCTCAGACCCAACTCAAATTAAGTACACACACACACATAAAACAATAGAATAGGTAAAACCATGAGGGCTGGGTGCAGATGTAACCAGCCGAAGAAGTCATCTGCACCCGAAGCAAAAAATTGTCAATTAGAAAATGTATAATAATAATGCATTGGTTTTATATAGCGCTTTGGACACTCAAAGATGCTTTACATGTCATTATTCTTTCACTCCAAACACGGAGGTGATAAATTACTACTGTAGCCACAGCTGCCCTGGGGCACACTGACAGAAGCGAGACAACCAGTCTGTGCCATCAGCCCCTCCGACCACCACCAACCATTCACACACACACCAGACTCATTCTAGGCAATGGGGGTAAAGTGTCTTGCCTAAGGACACAACAGCAGTTTGGCACTTTACAGCCGTAGCCGCCCCACTGTGGCTGGTGTTCTCAAAGGTTAAGTATCTTGCCAAGGACACAACCACAGCAGACAGTGGGAGTCGATGGTCTCGAACCCACGACCCTCTGGCTCAAAGACCAATGCTCTACCAACTGAGCTACTGTAGAACGTAAATTAGAACATAAGAGTCACTGGTCAGGTTAACCCATGTCCATAAACGTCCATAAACTTCCCAGATCATCCCTTGTCAAAAGACACTCCTGCATCAACAAGGACAAAAAGGTGCTATAGTGTTATTTTCAGAATTAAGTGAAACAAACAAAAGATGGAACCTTGAAACTGGAATCCTGTTTTCATACGTACAGAAAAAAACGGCACGTTCCCCTACGGCCCCTTGCCCCTCCCTGACCGGTCAGCACTAGATCACATACGGAATCGGGACGGAAGCAGAAGTAATGATAACAAACTACCTATTCATGCCTAAACTTAACCAGCCATTCCCATGAAAAAAAACCCAAACCCACCCTCAACCCTAACCTTGACCATTTTACTCAGACACCTAAAACCACCACCACCACAGGACTTATTATTGTAAAACTAATTTGATTGTTACTTGACTTGAAAATGACTGAATTCAGCATGATTGGACTTTTCAAATGGTTATTATGGGGTTACGATTTGGTTATATACCGGGCGGCACGGTGGCTGAGTGGATAGCACTCTCGCTTCTCAGCAATTATTATTATTAAGTTTGTGTTGAATAGACCCAGTCATTATAAATAGATTAACAATAACTTTTTCACAACTTCATGTTCAAATACTTCAGACGTGTGTCCTCACAAAAACACAACTTACTGTCCTTCAACCAAGAAATCAAGAGACACACAGCACACACAACTGCGTAGTAAGCCGGGGATAATTAATTAAGAGGGTTCTGATTTAGTCAAGGCCTAATACCCAGCAGTGCACCGCTAAATCGCATCGAAGTGAAAGCTAATTATCCTTGTCTTAGTAATGTGTTTTATTTATGACTGTGCTATCCCTCTTTTTTCCCTTTACGCCGCTGCACATGTGGTCAGACGTCTTCACCTGGACTGGATTTTCAAAAAGGGAACACTGAACAATCATAAATTTCATTGTCGGACAGAACGAATGTGTGAAGAGTGTTAAAGAATCGCAGTTTATTAATATGCATAGATCTGCGCTAGCCTTTACGAGCTAGCTTATAGTCCCGCCCCGGGCACGCACCTCATCCTCAAGAGTCATCCGTCATTTGAAGGTAATGCTAACCCTCGCTTATGTAAAGGCCTAAGTGGTTTTCAATGTCAAGGCTAATTGTCAGAGCCTATGAAAGTCTTACTTGTATGGGTCTCACAAGTCCGGGATATTTGTACTAACTTAAAATGAAGGTCAGTTTCTTTTTTTCATGCACGCGCCAGTTAGACCCGCCCCCACTACTTCCTGATTGGACAATTAATTTAAATTTCAGCTGACAGCTGAGGCCCCTCATCATTCTCCTCCAGCAAATTTGACTTGTGAAGGTGATCCGAAGGGGAGGGACTGTTTTAAATGTATTTATTATGAAACGTATTTAACTTTTTGTTGTTTACAGCTCCACAAATCACTGAAATGCCTCAAATGTTGTAAAAAGTAACATTTGTGCCCTATTTATTGTATTATTGATCAGAACTATCATCTCAGACGTGGTTCTGTTGATCCCAGAGTGACTCCGCTGTCGTCGCTATAACAGCCTTAATCCTCCTCATTGTTGAAAAATTGCACTCATTCAAACTCTACAACGCGTACGCTGCATTGAAAATAGTTTACACTCAAAATAAGAGCTATACTAAGCCACGAAAAGCTCCTGTGTGTTTTCCCGCATCGTCCGTTCTATTTAATAGGAGAAAAATACTTGAGTACTATGTCCATTAAAACAAAAGTATAGTCTCTGTGGGACAAAAGTATAGTCTCTCTGGGACATTTGGTTATCATATTTGTTGTTTGTACTTATTCTGGTTAAATTACTACTCTATATACTTTTGCAAGCTTTAGATCCACTTCCTTGTATACTGTATGTACAATGACAATAACTTGATATAAGATGCAAAAAACACAGTTTGAGGACTTGGCCACAGTCTTTATGTCAATGTGAAATAAATATCAATCTGATTTGTCGTTTGGTTTCCTAGTGACAATAGTTTCTTGTAGCATTTAGCTTGTTTTACTTATGTATTTGTCTGGTGCACACTGGCGTAGTTTTTGCACATGTATCCAATGTGGTTTTCCTGCATATGACAAATAAACCGATTCCGATCCTGGTGCTCTTCGTTTCACTAAAGGGAATTCAACATTATAATAAATACTGTATATTTAAACTAAAAAGAACCAAAGTCCATAGTAATTATGAAGCTAAATACTACAGCATTGCTTGATATATTATTAACAAACACAAAGCATACAGTTGAGTATTTTAAAATAATCTTTATTGTCTATATTTTGAAGGGGGAGATGTTTCACCCAATGCCAAGTCTGAAATTTAAGCATGAACAATAAAATACATGAAATATACCTCACCAAAGCCAAGCCATTACAAAAGAACAAAAACAAGCCATGTCGTGGTTTGACAAGATAAAAATCTATGCACATCTAAAATGCATCCAAACTGCAGTTAGGCTACAGGAGTTACATCTACTGTCCCAGACTGACCATCTGTGTCAGTGCAACTACTAGTTTCCTGCTTACGACTTGGTGTGTTGAGGGACACATATGCAAAGGAGAGCAGGAAGGGGCAGGAGAAGTTAAAGTCAAAACAATCTCTTCCCACTTGTTCAGACGCGCGACCAGAACGCTCGGTGACAGCGTCTGACGTCATTAAGCACAAGCGTCCAATGAGGCGCTTTGGCTGCGCTTTTGACTCCCGAGAAACGTGTGCTCTGAACCATAGACTGTAAATATTAACGGACGTAGTCACGCCTATCTCAGCCGGAGCTATCCAAAATGGCCGCGAGTGGTCCCGCCCACAAGAAAATTGTGAAAAAACGCATCTGCGCATGCGTCAGCCGGCGCAAGCTCCATTCATTTGAACGAGCGACTAAACTAGACTGGTCCAAAACACTCCCCTCAGCATTGACACACATGTGGAACGGAGCTTTGGGCCAAGAGCCAACTTTTGGACCATTCTGTAAAGACGTTTTCCAGAGGTAAGAAGATGCTATATGTTAGCATTGGCTAATTCTTATTCCAGGTCCACCCCCTTCGGCCCGGGGTGTTATTGCAGCATGTCAGCGCACGTCATTTTGGCTACTTTTGAGCCGGGACCCGCCCCCACTGATCTGAACACGGCATTATGGACATTGGCCAACTGCCTGATATGGACCAATACCTACGTGTTCTCTTTTATTTGTGTTTGAACTGTTTGATTCTCTGATCTGTTTTGGCGATATCAACGGTTTGGTTAAGTCCTCTGAGATAACTAGGCTTGTGATTTAGGGCTTTACAAGAATAAATTGAATGGAAATTGAATTGAATTGTTCAATCCCAGCTTGAACATCTGTGTCACAGGGTGGTGAAAGGTACCTCATCAAGCCATCAAGCCATGGTTTGCAAAGATACAAATCTACACACACCTACTGTATAACGTTTAAACAGATGGAACATTCATGGGATGGACCTTCACCCCTCGCCGGAACAATCTCTTCCTCAACGCCCACAAGCTCCTCTCCCACAAGCTCCTCTCCTGTTTGACTTCTGTCGCTTCTTGGCGGTCCTTATATTCTTTCGTCAGAGCAGAGTTGTTGTTCTCTGCAGTTGTGAGAGCCTCGGATATTTCCTGCACATTCTGCTTCTCTGTCCACAGCTGTTGTGCATGAGTTTCCTTGAGGCCCTCCATCTTCTGTTTGGTTTTCAACACTCGCATTTGCAGAGTGTCTATTTTTTCCTGAGTCGGTGCAGAGATTTTTGTTTTTTCTTTGTCCAGAGAGGATCTTAGAGAGAACACTTCAGCTTTGAGGCTGTCTTTTGCATGACTCTCTTGTTCCAGGGCATTTCTGAGAGACAGCACTTCAGTTTCAAGCTTCTCTTTCTCTTTCTGCAGCTTCATCACATCTCCCTCTGCTGCAACTTTGCCCATTATCTCCTCTTTCATCTGATCCTTGAGGGCCTGATTCTTCTCCTGTTCTTCTAGTAGGAGATTTTGTGCTGCAGTTTTGGCCTTCATCTCCTCTTTCATCTGATTGCAGATGGCCTCATACTTGTCCTGCAATTCTTCGACTGCGCGCCTCCTTTGTTCCAGGACAGATGTGAGAGTCTCCATTTTGGTTTGAAGCTTGTCTCTCTGTCTCTGTTGCCCCTGCATGTCTCTCAGTGCTGCAGCCTTGGCCTTTATCTCCTCTTTCATCTGATCCTTAAGGGCCTGATTCTTCTCCTGTTCCTCTAGCAGGAGTTCTCGCAGAGAGTTGGCCTTCACTATACTCCGATTGAGATCATCCAAAAGGGACTGGACCGGATCTTGTTCAAGGAAGTCTGAGTAAGGTTTCTGGATATATTCATTGTTGTCTTCAATCTGGTCATTCCAGCGAGGAGTCAATGGCTGCATCTTGGTCACCTGACTCTGGACCAGCTTCAGGCTCTCTGCATCTAACTGTCTCTGTTTCAGCAGAGCTATTAAGAGCCTGCGGGTAGGACACTGCTCATTATCTTGGTCCACAGACATATTGTTATTTAAGTCTGATATGTATTGCTGAGTAGCACTTCCTGGGTTCTCTGTGTATACTTTGTTGTATGGTTGCACCTCTGTGTCCAAAGACTCTCCGTGTATTGAAGTCAATTGAATTGCTTGTTCTGCTAAGAGAAGATATTTTTAAAAGAGATTGTGTGATGTCATTTAGCCATGGAACAGTGTTACCATGGAAATGTGTTACCATGGAAACGGCGGCTCCAGCCAAAGTTCCGGCCATAGTTCCGGAATCCTGATACCCTCCTGTCTATCAGATTAATGTACCAGGTGAGATTTTAAATGAGTGTTTTAAACTTTGAGCGATAAAAAGTGTGCTTATTGAAAACCTCTATTGAATTATGATTGAGTTTTAAAAGTATTGCAAGTTTAGCAAGTGATTTCTCATATAACTACATATAAACATATAAACACTGTGTGCTTTATATTTTTCATGTGTTTTAACTGTTGATTCTCTGACCTGTGTTGGTGATTTCAATGGTTTTGTTAAGTCTCTGAGATGACTTCTGTTGTGACCTAGGGCTATACAAGAATAAATTGTATTGTACATAGCACATGGCCAAGATTGCCAGCTCAATCCATGCCTGTAGCCTGCAGAGCAAACTTCCACCAGCAGCCTAGACACTGGGCCTTCAGAGCTAGCTTTCACCACCAGCTGTTTTGAAAGCAGTTTCACTGGCTTGGATTTTATGGACTTGATCTACCTTCCCAAGTTAACACCACTGATGTTGAGGTGATCTCAGGATGATTTTTTCAACTACATTACTCTTGTAAACTTAAAGTAGTACTAGAATTTAATATGCTGCTATCCAGAATATATAACTACAATATGTGTTTATAATATTTCGGGTGTTCATTTTGACATGTTCAGATGAATTATGTTAAAAAAAAACGGCTTTGAAGTGGCACCTTTTAAAAAAACGCTAGGGGGAGCCAAAATGGCGGCGATGACGTAGGAGAAGGACCTCTCACAGCAGCAGCAGCAGTCTTAGCTGGAAACTGTAGGAGGTTTCACTGTCATCTAAACAAGGTATAAACATATTTTCATCCGTTTTGTACATAATAGTGTGCAACTCTTTTAACCTTTTAGCCTTATTTGTGAGATTCAAGCTAATTAGTGTTGGGCAAGTTAGCTAACTCTACTTGATATCATAAAACATGCTAACAAGGCTAATATTCGTTTTTACATTATGCCAGTCTCACTTTGGTTGCCTTAGATTTATTTACCACAATGTACATTGTAATATTCAAAAATGCTAATCAAAATAACTTGAATTAAATAAATATTTTACTTTTATGAACAAAAAGCTGCAGAAGTTGAAAACATAGACTACATGTGATGCAATCATTGATAAAAATGCTAATTAAACCGTTAATAGGTGTTAGAATTTATGCAAATTTGCCTGCAACTTAAGTTGCAAGGCAAGGCAAGGCAAGTTTATTTGTATAGCACAATTCATACACAAGGCAACTCAAAGTGCTGAACAAGATGCATTAAAATCATAAATAATTACAGAACATTAAAACGAAAGATAAAAATATAAAATCCCTCAGTTGTATGCACAGCTAAACAGCACCGTTTTTAACCTGGTTTTAAACATTGTCAGAGAGGAGGCCTGTCTCACATCTTCAGGAAGATTGTTCCAGATTTTAGCAGCATGAATCTGAAAAGCAGCCTCCCCATGTTTAGTTCTGACTCTGGGCACTAACAGGAGTCCAGTCCCTGTGCTCCTCAGAGTCCGGGCTGGTTCATATCCAATGTTGACATCCAGCGTCAAAGCTCGTTGCTGTCTGACCATTTCTTGATCACGTTTGATCTCGCTTTGGAGGACTTTCCTGTCCCGCAAGATAAAACCATAATGAAAAGAACCTTAAATGATAAATCTATCACAAGGTTCAAAGAACTAATACAGCCTATGTTGAATACTGCTGCAGGTGAACCTGTTCACAGCAGCTGCAGTCCCTCAGTCATCGACCAAACGGTGGGCAACACTATGGAGTCTTTAAAATCTGCATTAAATGCAGCAGCTCCTTTAAAACAGAAAACCATTAGGATTAGATCATCGTCGCCCTGGTACAGTGTTCAACTCCACACTTTAAAACAGGACGTCAGAAAATTGGAGAGGCTATATCGCCACTCCCACTCGGAGCCTGTCCACAGGGAGTGGAAAGCAGGTCTCCGAAACTACAAGAAGGCCCTTCGCGGGGCTCGAACTCAATACTATTCAACTTTAATAGAAGCGAATAAAAACAACAGTAGATTTTTGTTTGGTACCGTCGCTAAACTCACAAACTGCCATAGCGCAATCGAGCCTAAAATTCCAAGCTCACTGAGCAGTGTCGACTTTCTCCACTTCTTTAATAATAAAATTACATCCATCCGTGACAAGCTGGAGGAGGTTGCTCCTGCTGTTAGTGGTGGACAGGTTGAAGCGGCATACGTGACTTCCCACTTAGACTCTTCAGTGGGCCTTAATAAATTCATGGCTGTGAGCCAAGCAGAGGTGATCTCTGTGGTCACATCCTCAAAAGCCTCAACTTGCATGTTAGACGCAGTCCCGACATGGCTCTTCAAAGACATACTTCCTTTGATAATTGAGCCTATCGTAAATATAATAAACGCATCCATACAATGTGGCTATGTCCCACAAGCTTTTAAAACCGCGGTAATCAAACCCCTTCTGAAGAAAACAAACCTGGACCCAGAAATACTTACAAACTACAGACCGATCTCGAACCTCACTTTTATATCTAAAATCCTGGAAAAACTTATAGCTGAGCAGCTCCGCTGCCACCTGCAGGAAAATGATATGTTTGAAGTCTTTCAATCAGGATTCAGAGCTCATCATAGCACTGAAACGGCACTAGTCAAAGTCACAAATGACTTACTACTAGCTGCCGATAATGGACAAGTGTCAGTGCTGGTCCTACTGGACCTTAGTGCTGCATTTGACACAATAGACCACAGCATTCTACTGCAGAGGCTAGAATGTGATATAGGTCTTAGAGGAACAGCCCTTGGCTGGTTTAAATCCTATTTATCAGATCGATATCACTTCGTCAATGTGAATCAGGACTCGTCGCCTTATTCTGGAGTGGAATTCGGTGTGCCGCAGGGTTCGGTACTCGGACCGATTCTTTTTACTCTCTACATGCTGCCACTGGGAAACATTATTAAAAAGCATGGAATTAATTTCCACTGCTATGCAGATGACACACAGCTTTATCTGTCGATGAAGCCTAATCAGACAGATCAGCTAGAAAAGCTCAGTGCCTGCATAAAGGACCTTAAAATGTGGATGACTCTTAACTTCCTACTTCTCAACCCGGAGAAGACAGAAGTGATCCTACTCGGTCCGAAGCGCCTGCGTGACTCCCTCACTAACCAGATGGTTACTCTCGATAATGTCAGTATAATACCCAGTAACACTGTGAGGAATCTTGGAGTCATTTTTGACCAAGAACTCTCCTTCAAGGCTTATATAAGCCAAGCAACTAAAACGGCGTACTTCCACTTACGGAACATCGCTAAAATTAGGAATTTCCTTCCTAAAAGTGACGCGGAAAAACTCATTCACGCGTTTGTCACCTCAAGGCTCGACTACTGTAACGCTTTACTGGCAGCGTGCCCTAAAGCCTCTTTGAAGAGCTTCCAGCTCGTTCAGAATACAGCAGCTAGGATCTTAACAGGTACCAAAAGGAGGGAGCACATAACTCCGGTGTTAAAATCACTCCACTGGCTCCCTGTGGAGTACAGAATAAAGTTTAAAATCCTACTCTTAACATATAAAGCCATAAATGGCTTGGCTCCTTCTTATCTCCAAGACACGTTAGTGTCGTATCAACCAAGTCGAGCGTTGCGCTCACAAAACGCCAGACGTCTGGTGGTCCCTAAGGTCTCAAAGGTCACTGTTGGTGGCAGAGCATTTAGCTACCAAGCTCCTTTACTGTGGAATCAGCTTCCCATTTATGTTAAGGAAGCAGATACGGTCTCCACATTCAAGGCCAGGCTTAAAGCACTTTACTTTAATTTAGCATATAATTAGGTAATATATAATATGTAGTGTATATATTATATATATATGCTGTATTATGTTATATATTATGTTATATATTATTCAATAATGTATTGTGTTATGTTGTATATTATGTTATATATTATGCTGTATGTTATTCTTTATTCAAGGCTAGGTTTAAAACAGTCCTCTTTAGTTTAGCATATGGCTAGGAAGGTAAGACTCGGAGAAGGTTAAACTCCTCAGAGTGTTAGTCAAGCTGCATAGGGAGTCAGTTTGCTGGGAGAAGTATGGTAACTTGAGCACTATCCTCTCCTCCTTCCTACTTTATCTGTTTAGCATTTTTAGGATTCTGACTGTAGTTTGTTCATTGCTATTCACCCGTTGTCCCATTGTCTGTTTCATGGTACAATGACGGGATCTCTGAGCCTGGCCTCTTCCATCTACACCTGCGGACTGCCCCGCCCGACCCGCCTGGGAGTGCTTCGGTCCTGCACCGGACCTGTCCACGTTCAGCGTCCACTGGTCCACGTTCTGTAGCTAGCTTAGGTCCTAGATCATTAGTCTGTCCGTCCGGAGGAGCGGATCCCTTTCTCATATGGGTCTCCCTCCCTGTGGGTTTCCCTAGTTCTCCTCCAAGGTTTCTCACTTTTTCCCACTGGGTTTTTTAAGAGTTTTTCCTTGTCGATGCAGGAGGGTCTTGTTGGACAGTTAGTGTCCAACAGAAAGGATTGGTGATGATCAGGACACTTTAGCATTCTACAACATGTATGGACATTTTCTTCTGTGTGTGCTTTATACTGTATTCTTCATGTGTTTTAACTGTTGATTCTCTGACCTGTGTTGGTGATTTCAATGGTTTTGTTAAGTCCTCTGAGATGACTTCTGTTGTGACCTAGGGCTATACAAGAATAAATTGTATTGTATTGTGTATTGCATATGGGACTAACATGTCACTAATAT